ACTTTTCCGTCCCTATACAATTTAATTTCCATATCCGTAAAAATACCGTTGATGCTCATTGCTTTGATTATTAGTTTATCTGCTATGTTACTTTATATAAGTTTACGCATTCCCGTATCTTTTCTACACATGCCGTACGTATTTACGTGCGTCATGATCAGTAAATCAGCGTCCGCTTCTCCATTCCTCCGCAAGCATCTACATATTTCTTGTTGCTTTAGCTGGCTCGCTTTTCGTGCTCGCTTGTGCGACTGAAAACTAAACTGCTTGACAACATCAAATTGAAAAGACTCACTTCGGATCCGAGGGCATTCCCTCCAGCCTCCAACTCATAATTCTGGCTTCAATTATCACAGTGCTTGAGGCGGGCAATTTGGTCATGCAGCTCGCCACCCGTTCACAATTTATGACGTTCGAAGTTTATATCAATTCATCTTTAGCTCGAGTGGCTAGCTGGCTAAGGGAGTCTGCGCAGCGATGGTCTGTCCCAGAGGACACCTATGACTGATAACCGCGCTCTATTGAGATTTACTGGCAGCGATTGCCGAATGATTTCTCGGCCAGTGTCTCCTGAGTACGGAGAAATATAGGGATGTTTGTTCGTGGTTGCCGTGACCTGTGAGAGCCGCCAGTGCGTTCTGCAATAAGAGATGCTGCATGGTGCGCCTCGTAACTAAATCGGCCGTTTGTATCATAACCAGATGCTGGAATATATGTACAGCTGAGCCCGAAAGCAGGCATATCAAGAAGTGGTGTATAACAAAGGTAAAGTAAAGACAACAGGCAAAGACAAATCATTCGTCGTGAAACTCTGCAGTCAAATTATTGTTCCGAGAAATCACAACCCAGTTGCCGTTGACCTTCTTGTGTGACATTTCCCATACCCCCTCACACCATGCCGAGAAGAGGCCCCGTCGACACGTTTGTGCGTTGATTGCGCTGTCGGGGTCCGTTTGAAGCGGCCGGATAGGTGTTATTGATCGCGGAGGGGCTGTCCGTTGAGCCAGTGGGGTCGAGAACACCCATGGTGGTCTGAGACGGGGAAAGACAGCGCTTGGTGGGCATTATGGGGAAATTTAGGACACTTGCTGGGACGAGCTCTGTAGTTTCAAGGACTTTTCAACTACTCTCTGCTCCTTATTTGTTGTATGTGTTATGCTTGCGATTTAAGATTTGGCTGCATACGACATAAAACAAGGTCCCAACTCTATAGATGGCCTTCGTCGCATCACAAACGCATCGCAAACTTTTCAACTACTCTCTGCTCCTTATTTGTTGTATGTGTTATGCTTGCGATTTAAGATTTGGCTGCATACGACATAAAACAAGGTCCCAACTCTATAGATGGCCTTCGTCGCATCGCAAACGTAAGCAGCACCGAATCTTGGGAACTGGTGCATCTAGCGCAGCGAATTAGTTCGCATCATGCGGCACAAAGCTCGCCGCAGGGGTAACAACCAATACCATCTAATAATTTGCTCATCTGAAAACACGTAGCACAACAATCAAAGCCAATTTCTTTGTTGCTTTGAAACTCTTTCCCAAACATCGTGCTCCTTCTGTTCAAAATACTTTTTACGATTGGCCGAGGGCACTTTTGGACTGCGAAAGCACAGAAAACATTACGTAAGAAAGAGGATCCTATGAAGCTCGAGACAGAATGAGACATAAACCGTTTTACAGCGTTCGTCTCCCATTTTATCGTCATGTTCAGCGTCTGCCGGACCGAGACATGCATCTCAAGTTCGATAAAATGAGAAGTCTTACATGTGCCACTTCAAGTCTCTTTTGAAAAAGCTCACTTCTAAAAACCTTTTTGAAGACATGGAAATACGAAAGTATTTAATTAAATGAACGAGTGCATGTGTAGTTGCTTACCCTCATCACATGGCACGTGAATCCACCACCACCACCACCACCACCACCACCACCACCACCACCACCACTTGCTCCTCTGCTCCGGCAAAACGGCACCGCTTGACGTCTCATTTTGTCAGCCGCCATCTATATAGCCAGTTACGGACTTTGTATCGGCCCTGTGCCATGGTTTAGCGAGGCCATTTGATGATAAAGTAACTGGACTGGCCGCTCGGCCAACGGCTGATAGAAGACGCCGGGCCTCACCCCGCCACGGTGCTGCTCGGAGAGGACGGGATAGAGGCTAGACCATCTGCGGATAGGATGGAATAGAGGCTAGACCAGCGGTGGATAGGATGGGATAGAGACTAGACCAGCGGCGGATAGAATTGGATAGAGGATAGACCAGCGGTGGATGGGATGGGATAGAGGCTAGACCAGCGGCGGATAGGATGAGATAGAGGCTAGACCAGCGGCGGATAGGATGGGGCAGAGGCTAGACCAGTGGCGGATGGGAAGGGATAGAGGCTGACCCAGCTGCCAAGGAACGCGCGACCAGGAAAGAAACGTAAGTAAATTGTTCGACAAACCACGCCCGTGCCTGGACCTGGGAGACTTGACATGGAGACCGAGACCAATATGAAAACTGGCGTAGAGATCTGAGACAGATACGTAGACCAAAATTTCGAGAACGATATTGAAATTGCGACCAATACCGGGACCGGATCTGATATCAGGCCAAGACCTCCCATGTCACCGCCGCTCCGGCTGAAAGGACGTTTGATCACGGGTACGACCGATTTGACTCGACACCGCGGTGGCGCAAACGATGACTCTAGTAGCTCCCCCCGGTGTGGCTTACCACTTCCGAGGGGCACGGTTGGCGGGAAGTAGAGATGTCAATCGGATACCAACTTTTTGGTATACCGATACCAAACCGATACCAACTTGGTATTTGGTATTTCAATCGTAATGTGTTTGGTATTTTGTTGGTATCATAAGCCCTCACAAATGTATAAGAGGCTAAGAAATCGGTAAAAAGTTGGTATTTCCCTCAGCTTCCCAAGTTGGTTTGGTTTCGGTATTTTCCCGTGGTTTTGGTTGGTATTTGGTTTGGTATCGGTATTCCGATTTTCCGTAATTGACATCACTAGCGGGAAGCCCGGGGATTAGGGCGGTTTCTGTAGTGAGCTCAGTATAGAGACCGAAGGATTTCCCGCTACATCTGTTGTGGGTATGCCGGTTTGTCACAAGTGGCGACAGCCCAAATCCGAACACCCACTGCACGATAAATTACAGGCCTAGGTCAGGGCGTGAGTGCAACAGGTCTTTTTTTGTGCGTTAGCAGTCTAAATAGCACAGCCTTATACTATACGTGAATAAGGAGAGTTAAAGGAGAAAGTGAATGAAAGGGGCAGGGAGGGAGGGAGGGGGAGAGAGAGAGAGAGAGAGAGGGAGAGAGAGAGAGAGAGAGAGAGAGAGAGAGAGAGAGAGAGAGAGAGAGAGAGAGAGAGAGAGAGAGAGAGAGAGAGAGAGAAAGAGAGAGAGAGAGAGAGAGAGAGAGAGAGAGAGAGAGAGAGAGAGAGAGAGAGAGAGAGAGAGAGAGAGAGAGAGAGAGAGAGAGAGAGAGAGAGAGAGAGAGCAGGAGAAAGAAAGGGATAGAAACAGATGCAGACAGACAAGTCGATGCCAACTGTAAGAATGTTTGAACACTTGGAATTGTTCGCCGACGAGGGTTTCAGAACCACTATTTGCGTCGCACTGTAAACTTCTACAACTCCAATGCGGGCACGGTCAATATCATTCCTCCATTTGCTCGAACTCAAACAAATCAAACTTCGTTTCGCTGATGGAATAACGATCCGCAGCTACCAGCGCGATACTATGCGACTGGGTGGTATGCTTTTCATATTCAAAATCACGACTTCATGACTAAAGACTGTTCTATTTGTGAGTCTTCTTGAGGGCGAATGATATGATAATTGAATTTGTCACTTGTTTGATTAGCAATCTTGAATAATGGACAATTTCATGCATTGCGCATACTAGGACATTTTTTGCACTTACATATTCGCTATAAGCTGTACTTTTTGAAACGAGACATTGATAAGTTTCACTATCTTGCTTGGAACTTGGCATTTTTATTTTTACGTTGTAGCTAATCTGACTAATTCCAATATTGTTTCATAAAAAATGTGGCATTTGTATTTATCATGACCCATCAAATCCATGCTGGCGTGTGGGACTGGGGCCATCAGTGTGCCAGTCCGGCCGCCAGATCGGCACTGGAGCAGACCAGGGGCGCCGTCTCACCACCGCGGGGCCGTCGGGTCCCGCCACTCCGTCCGAGCCACTGTAATCGCTCCCGGGCCGATCCACACCTCCCCAAATGGCTGTGTTGTGCTGCTATTGCTACCCCCTGTCGGACCGCTATTCGGCTCACTTAATTGCTCCATTTCTCGGGACTAGCAGCGCTCCTCCGCTGAAGATACAACGATTTACTGCGATTTATTCCTGGAAAACTAGAGGTCTTCCTACGTTTTGATGCGTCCTTGAGTATAGTCAGGACTAGAGAGAGACGTCTGCGATCTTTGAACGTGGATTGATAACGACCCTTAGCCGTGACCGAAAACGCTCTGCGGCTTGTGACCTCCAGCTATCCCGTGACCCAAGGCTGACCTTTGACCCCCCAGTTGATCTGCGACACACTCGTGTGCTGGAGGACGAGACACGCTGGGAAGTTCCTTGGGTTTAACCACTCTGAATGCTCGCCGGTCGATGCTAACGTTGTTAGTGGCTGGGGCATTGTTTAGCCGGCGGCCGCGGGCCGCTGTTAGGAAGGTTCACCTTCTGAGTGAGCTTTGTTGGCCCGCACTGAGCTGGGAAAACTGTAGGCTTCTGCTGAGCAAGTATAAAGAAGCAGAAATGTTAGCGAAGCGGCAAATATGCGTAGAATTAGTCTTGTTTTTTCATTTGCTAGTTTTTTGACGGTACCTTTAGACCGACGATCGTGTCGTGTGTATAAGAGGATTACAAAACACGGAAAAGTGAACCAATGCGTAGGTGAATGGTGATGGATACTTCTGCACGAGAGACTCTAAATTCGCTATGTTGATGACGGCTCCTTTTGCTGTCTGTTACAGAGGACCTGGATGAGCTTACCAAGATCGACTGCCAACGACAACAGCAGCAGCAGCAGCAGCAACAACACAGCCCACATCAGCAGCAGCAGCAGCAGACTCCCAACAAGCCACTGAGTCCTCCGCGTTCCTCGGGTCCCCAACACTGTCAGGTTAGTCCTCTCCTCAAAGAAAGAAATAAACACACGCAAAGACGCAAACGTACAAAACAATACTCGCAAACACCGCAGACATTCACATGCACTAAAAGGCACCTGCTCGGGCATCTGCG